ATTATCTTCTAGTTTAAAACTGTGATGATTTGGGCCTTAAAGCATGGACCTTCAAAAAATTATCCAAAAAGAAGGGTCAAATTACAGTCAGCCCCCCTGAGATAAGATCAAATTACTAAAAATCCCTAATGTTTGGATAATTACAATCAATGTCAAATTTCGTAATTTACCGTTTGAATGAGGGTTGGTTTTTTTGGAGATAATGCATAATTGAGGAAGGTAATTATAATTATTCAAACATGATGGATTTTTCGTAATTTAATCTTACCTCACCCCCACCAAGGTTCCTTCGACCTTACACCGGGTGGGTCTTCTGCTGCCACGTGCTCTTTTTTTTATTTTTCTAAAACCCCTAAAGGTAAACCCTAGCGGGTAATCTATTATAAAATACAAAAAAAGACACGTGGCAGCAGAAGACTCACCCGGTGTTTTTCACCGGGTGTAGGGTCAAACAAATCCCCCACCAACCCACCCACCCCCAAATCCAAAAGAATGACTGAAAAAATTGCCTAATTCTTTTTCAAAGGCATATACTCAGAATAAATCACTGCAGTTATTATTAAACAGCATCTTGAAGCCTTATATAAAACAAAATTAATAAAAAAAATTAAAAAAAGGAAAGCTTAATTAGATTAAGAAGAATAAATGTGTAGTAAGCGATAAACACATGAGCATCGTAGTAGAAGATTTTTTTAGGGTGAAATTCTCACTTTTGGATTAAAAAAAATTAATAAATAATTAAACAAATAATTAAATAAAAAAAGGAAAAAAAATGCTCCACTTAAGTGAAATTTGCATGGAGTTAATTAATTATACCAATATGTTAAGAGCCAATCATTCTCCAATTCTCTCTTTTAGCCAAAAGGAACTTCTTTAGTGGGCATTTTCCTTTTTTGAGCCATTTGATGGGGGTTTTCTTTTTGTAAAAAACCTACCCCACTCCCGCCAAAAAAGACATGCCTTTAAAAACTTAATTTAATTAAACCCCGGTTATGCGTCTGATAATTCGAGTTCGATTATCCTGAAACTTACTTCTCGATCGAGTTCGTCGAAAGTTGATCAAACCCTTACTTAATTTTATAATTATATACGTGGAGTGTTACATACATATAAAACCTCTATAAATTAATACAATTGGGATCAGCTAAATTTTATTAATTTAACGAAATCTTTTTTTTAGCATGTTGCTCTCGAGCCGAGACCGAAAGAATATATTATTGAAACGAGGTTATTGATTTTTCGAGATTTTAATATATATATATATATATAGATGTATGTCCTTTTTGCATAAAGCTAGTGAGCATTAATCTTGCAGTACAAAAAGTGGAGGGAAACTTGTTGACTAGACCATGCAGTTTGTTCGTTATATTAATTAGTAGTATTATTAGTGTGTGTAGCATTTTCTGCAGGGGGGGCTTTTGTTTTCCACATGAATTGTGCAATAAACACAATTAAAGAACTTAATCAAGAATTAATAAGTGGGCTTTTATACATGGAAAAGAAAATAAACTAAATATTTGCAATGATTAGGTCATCAATACAATAAAGTGGTAATGGTTTTATCCACTTTAAAACCTCAAATCAACACTTGTACATAGTGTCAATTGAGTCATAGTATGCTCACTTCTTGGACATAGCAAACATTTACAGAGCCAGAATTTTAAATTCGGAGGACCGAATGCATTAAAAAAATTCTACGAAATGATCGTTAATGCTATTGTTCGCAAAAAAAAAAAAAAAAAAAGGTTAATAAAGATTCGAGAAATGTTAGGGAAGAGGGGGGCATGACCCCCAATCCCTATGCTAGCTTCGTCACTGATTGCAAAATATGTGGTGAAATTTGTAAGTGATCACTAGTCAATAGTGCAAACCATATTGTAATTGCACCTTTTTTGTCTCAATTTTTAAATATATTTGGATAAAGGGATAAAATTTAGTGTATTGGCAGCTGCCACCTTATCAGACAGATCAAAGAATAAAGTTTTATATATTGTCACTTACTAAAGTGGTTATAATTAAAATATAGAATGATAAATGGGTTTTTGTGGTTGTATAATTATAACAAATAAATGGACTAAAGAGTCTTTTTTTAAGTATTTAAGAATCTTCTTGTAAAACTTAAAAAGTTGGGGGGCATAAGTTGCTGGGAAAAACTGAAGAGCGTGAAACCACGCTCCAACAACATGAAGACAACGAGAGTTCCTAACTTGACCTGATGGTAATGTGTTGTCTTATGCTGGTCTCCACAAAAATAGTTAAATAATTACTAAAAGAAAACCCCTTTTAAATAATTTATTATTTCCACACAAAAATATTAGTTAGAAAATTAAATAAGAAATTGGTTTAATATAACATTATTAGATAAATGTGGGGTCTTTCTTTAATTTATTGCAATCTGGTGAGCCCTATTCTACCAAGTACACTAGTACATGATGCTTTTTTTTTTTTTTTTTTTTTTAATTATTAATTAAAGAAATTGTTATGCTAATAGAGTGAATGATTGGGCATCTTAAAAATTAATTAGTACTTAATCAATCTAGTAATAGGGATTTGTTAATTTATGAGGTGTCGAAGAACTATTGGCTCAACTAAAGGAAGTGCACTACAAAACCAAGGTTCTTTATTAACCAATTAAGGGTGAAAAATTGTTGCAATAATTAGTTTAATTAACTTTTGAAGCCACTTAGTTTGCATTTTCTCAATTAAGGAACACTTCCAAAATTTTGGTCGGTTGAAACTAATCTCTCATTATTCCTAACTTAATCTCTCTCAAATAATGGAATAATATTTTAGTTTAAATACATATTTTTTTTTAATTTTTTTTAAAATAGATGAAGTTAATATGTACTTCTTGGGGTTGTAATTAATTTATGGATAAATTACAAACCCCTGAAGTTAGACTAAATTAAGAAAAACGCCCTCACATATCGGTAATTACCAAAATCTTCCCGATATTTGTTTTCGTCTTACACTGACCCCCTCACGATGCGATTTTTCACGTGTTCTTTTTGTTTTATGAAATATTCCCCAAAAAATATCGATTCTACCCCCAAGAGCAGCCTCTTAAATGTAGGTGGCATTGATATACATTTTACATTAACCTCTTTTTCATCGATTGCTAATATGAACCATTATTTCATATATATGCAATTTTTGAAATAATGTGCATGGCTATCTTCAATCTATCGACAGGGTTATATCAGCCTTTTTTGGGAAATATTTCCTAAAATCAAAAGGATTACGTAAACAACCACAACTTAAGGGGGTCAGTGTAAGACCAAAAACAAAAATTCGGGGGATTTTGATAATTACGGATATGTAGGGATGTTTTTCATAATTTAGTCTAAGTGTAGGGGGGTTTTCTTAATTTATCATAATATTATATTTTCTTATGTTGGATTAAATACTTAAGATGCAGTAATAATAATATTGCAATGAAATAATCCAAAAATGGAGTATGGAGTATGACTGTATGGTGTCCACATAGACCGTTAACTCCAAGCTACATAGCCGGCGCCAAATATTCTTTCATTCTCTCTCTAGATCTCTTCCCCCTTAAAAATCCTCTCTCTCTCTCTCTCTTCCTCTCTTCCACTCTCTTTCTCTCTCTTGTACATACAGTATGTAGCATAATATATATATATGAACCCTACACGTACATAATTGTATGTAGATGTTTGTTTAGCTTCCGACTGATCACTAATCTGATGATGGAATCAAGTGGGTTTTCTTCGCCGAGGACTGAATGTTTTCCGGCGGGTCTTAGGGTTCTTGTGGTTGACGATGATCCTACGTGGCTCAAGATTCTTGAAAAGATGCTTAAGAAGTGCAACTATGAAGGTAATTCCTTCTTCTTCTTTTTTTTTTTTTTTTTTTTTTTATAAATTTCCCCCCTTTGATTTGGTGAAATGCAATTGCCCTTTTGTATTTATGCTCTGTTCTGTTGAATTGATTTTGTTTTTTGTTTGATATTGTTTTTTTCTGGGCAAAGCTGCTGCTTCATATGTTTGACTCTCTCTCTCTCTCTCTCTCTCTCTCTCTCTCTCTCTCTCTCTCTCTCTCTCTCTCTCTCATATTTTGGGGGTTTTGGTGCTCTGTTTTTTTTAGATGGTGGAAGATTTTGTGTTTAGGGCTTAGAGTGTAAGTGCAAAAGAAAAACAATTACATAAAAATTTAAAAAAGAGTTTTTCGGGTTTTCGGGTTCAGTTTCGGTTTGATATACTTGAAACCCAATAATTGTAGCAAAATAATTGAAGCTATCATGGAGTTGAATAGTAATAATTCTAGCAAATTTCAGTTATAAATAAAAAAAAACTAACAAAATTGGGAGCTTTCTTTCTAATTCGGAAAAAAAAAAAAAAAAAATTAATCGCCTCGTTTTCTTTGTAATTCGAAAAAGAATTCGATCCGTCTCAAACTCCAATTTTTTTTTTTTTATTTGTGGAGTTTCAGTGACGACATGCAATTTGGCGCGAGAGGCGCTAAACATACTACGCGAGAGAAAAGACGGATTCGACATTGTAATAAGTGATGTCAACATGCCCGACATGGACGGTTTCAGGCTTCTAGAACACGTTGGTCTCGAAATGGATCTACCTGTCATAAGTCAGTTTTTCGTTTGGTTTTCTCTTACATATTTATATTTCCAAATTTCTTGTCCGAAAATTAAAACAAAACAAAATCGAAAAAAATCAATGCAGTGATGTCGGTTGATGGAGAAACGAGCAGGGTGATGAAAGGCGTTCAACACGGTGCGTGCGATTATCTCCTCAAGCCAATAAGAATGAAGGAGCTTCGAAACATATGGCAACATGTCTTTAGGAAAAGAATACACGAGGTGAGAGATATCGAAGGCTACGAAAGTATAGACGAAATTAATAATATGATGAGATGTGGGACCGAGCAATTCGAAGATGGATTCTTGTTTAGTGGCGATTTTATTACCGGGAAGAAAAGAAAAGACGTCGATAGTAAGTACGATGATCGAGTGTGCGGCGAATCTTCTTCATCCGCTAAGAAAGCTAGAGTCGTTTGGACCGTTGATCTTCATCAGAAGTTTGTTAGGGCTGTGAACCAGATCGGGTTCGAAAGTAAGTTTTGATTTAGTTTGTTTATTTTGTGACGTTGTTTGTTCGAAAAACGGGATTTGATTTGATGTTGTTTCGACAGAAGTTGGACCGAAAAAAATACTTGACTTGATGGGAGTGCCGTGGTTAACAAGAGAGAATGTTGCTAGTCACTTGCAGGTAAATGCTATCCTTCCTTTCGATTTGTTTCGGTTTCGGTTTCGGTTTTCTATTCTCCCTCTGATCCGATTTTAATTTCCAAGAATATTTACCAAATCTCCAATAATTTTTTCGAAAATTACACATTAAATATCAATGTTGTTATGTATTTTATAGAATAGGTGACTACAAAAAATGGAAATTCTGAATTCATCCGGTTTTGATCCAAAAAATTCCGATTTTGGAACAAGTTATTTTCTTTCCAATTTCCGAAAATCCGATTTCTCCTTTTGTTTGCAACGGAATTAGTATTAGTTTCTCACTTTCGAACAAAATACATTTTTTTCCGAAAGTGCTAATTCCAGTCCAATCTTTTCGATTTACACCGTACTCTCTCTCTCTCTCTCTCTCTCTCTCTCTCTCTCTCTCTCTCTCTCTCTCTCTCTCTCTCTCTCTCTCTCTCTCTCTCTCTCTCTCTCTCTCTCTCTCTCTCTCACACACACACACACGCACACGCACACGCACACGCACGCGCGCGCACACACACACACACACACACACACAAAATTGATAACTTTGGAACCCTAAGGAACTCTTCTTTAATGCTTTCAGAAGTATCGACTCTACTTGAGCAGGTTGCAGAAAGAAAACGAGCTAAAATCCACCTTCGGTGCCACCAAAGAACTCGATATCTTTTCGAAAGATCATTCTATTTCTGCACATCAAATCATTCAAGCCAACGAAACTTATGCCGATAAAATCTGCGACAAAAACGATCTCGCAAAAACGAGTGCCTCAATCAGGAACGATTTTTATCCGGACGTAAAATCCGAACCCAAAATTCAAGTTCACTACTCCTGGAATAGTGAAGCTCCACCCCTCGAGTTGATCAAGAAAGATGGTAATAATAAAACAGTACATTTCCATTCCGAATACACGTTCGATAAACGAGCACAAACGGGCCCCACGCCTTGGAACACAAGCGGGCCCCACAGCTTCGATGTTCTCGAAACTCCTTCAACGGCAGAAGCTGCTATTAGGTTGTGGGATGAAGAATTCAATGATTATTCGCCGCAAGGTGATTTCTATCCTCCGATCAATGCTTATATCGGATACGATAATCAAGAACTTATTGACGGTGTTCCGCCGCACTTGTATGATTCGTTGAAGTTCGATTCTTCCGTGGGTCCCGGTGAATCGGTGGAATATCATGTAATAGATCAAGGTCTGTTTGCATGATCTAATTTGCTGGTGATAATTATTATTAGGACATATATATTTTATTTTTTGCTTGTTTGGTTAAGTGGTTATCTTCCAATGAAGAAAAAACAAAAGGTGACTTTCTAATATTTTTGAGTTGCCTGTGGTGTAAAGAAACTATCTTTCTGCTTTTTAGTGAACATATTGATGTTAAGACTTGTTATTAAATTTCCGCGTAAATGACGATCACCTCTGATGTAAGGTTAAATTACGAAATAATATCCTCTTATTTGGTTAATTACAACAACCCCTCAACTATGAATTTTCTTACACATCTACACATTGCGGTGTCAAATTCAGTGGAATCGTCTAGATTATGCGGTATATTCTCTAGATTATACACGTCACATTCGAACTCCACATTTTGAAACAAGATGATCATAAAATGTGTCTCTTGGCTTGTAACTATCAAATTGTAGTGCACTGCATTTTTTCACAAACGAGTACAAACTAGAGAACATTTCATGAAACCCAGAATATTCTATCAACCTTGAACTTGATACCATAAGAATGAACGTTTAAAAAAATTCATCGTTGAAGTGAAGTTATAATTACCGAAATAAGAGATATTTTTTCATAATCTGATCGACCCAAAACTTAAAGAACCTGACTAATTAATAAACTTGCAATTTTACTGGCTAAATTTATATGAAATATCAACTTACTAAAATTCAAGAAACAATAAAAATCACGTTCTTTAATTTGACATTATCTCAAGACGTGGTCGTAATTTACCCTACATTCAATCAAGAAACAATAAAAATCAAAGCTTTATTGCACAACACCACTCAAATGATTACTGCACATTGACATCAAAAACCTTGGGAGAAGTTTTAGCCTTGGGTATATTTAAATACAAGACACCATCTTTAACCTCAGCCTTAATCTTCTCGAACTCAACATTTTCCGGCAGAGCAATTCTGCTACTGTACCTCCCATAACTCTTCACCGGCCAATCCTCGCCGCCGTCTTCATCTTCACCATCACCATCGTTCTTGCTCTTGACCGATTTCTCAGCTTTTAAAACCAGCATATTCTCCTCAACCCAAATCCTGACATCATCTTTCGTCATCCCAGGCATATCGAACCTCATCTTGTACTCTGCTTCGCCTTCCTTAATCTCCCACGGCGTACGCGACGGCGGCGGCGGCGGCGACCGCCATTCGCCGCCGTAGGCGAAAGGGCCGTCGTCCACTATTCTCTCCATTGTTTCCAGCATTTGCTGCACTGTTCTTGCTGTCGGAAACCTGTCCCACAAACCTGGAGAAATAAAATAATGTCAGAAAAAAAAAGGGAAATGAATTCAAGAATGTTGAACGAGCGCGTGCATACACATACCCATTGGGGCGAGTGGGGCTGATTTTTTCTTGGGGTGTTGGTTTTGTTGTTGTCTCTGCAGATAATCAAGATTGTCTCTGCCTTCATCCGCCATTGATTTCACTACACTGATTCTGCCGCCATTTCTGCTCGGGTTTCTGGAGCTCGATAATCTTGAATTCGAAGGAGAGAGATTCGGACAGAGAAACGTGGGTTGGGAGATTAACATGTTTGATAAACAGTGGGCCATTTGCAAATTATTTTACAGGAATTGTTATAGATTGATGAATCTTGATTTGTGCGATGCAAACATAGGAGATGCATATAAGCATTTAAAGGATCATTCGGAAAATTCTGGAAGAGACGAGGCTGTGGAGTTTTTTTCATTTTCTCTGGACTTCTCTAGATGTTCTTGTTTTAAGGATGTCTTAATACGACACCGTTTTGTTATTCAAGTGATTTTCTTTTCCAGTTAAAATGTTAATAGTTTTTTTCAGTGGGAATTAAAGAAGGGCACAATACAATTTTCATGGAAACGATGCAACTTGGCATATATATATATTTATATCGATTGTAATCAAATATCGATCGATATAGCGATACGATACGAATCAAATATCGCTCGATATCGACATACGATATTTGTTTTGAGGGTGATTGTGCGATTCAGCGCATTAGGGGTGATTTATGTGATATTCAGCACATTTAAGGATGATTTGTGCGATTTTCAGTATATTTCGGGGTGATTTCTGCGATTTTCGGGGCATTAATTTTTTTTTGTTTTTAATTAAAGCAAAAACCACAAAAAAAATGCTTAAGATAAAAGCAATTTTTGTTAGGAAATGTAATAAAATCGACACTAGCATTTCTAAAAACTATGATTTTTGATCTAGTTAATAATTTAATGTTGAAACTTGAATTTAAATCTATTAGTCAAATATCTTACTACACGTAAATGATACGGTACGATATGTAGCGGAAAACGATATATAGGGCAATATATTCAGATACGATAGCCATGATTTCAAATACTTAAAATACAAAGATGGTTGCACTAGTAAATTTTTTTGTCATGGAAAATTATCTGTCAAAGTGGTGAAACCATCCCAGAAAAAGGGGTTATCCATCCAGCTCTGGTAATAACAATCCACCGAAAAATCTTCGTTTCGGAACATAATCGAGTTCGTTACATCGTTTCGTTCTTCGTCATTTGAGGCCGACACTTCTGCCTTTTCTTGAATCTGCAGATAATCTTCCAAAGGTGGGAGTGACAAATTACTTTCTTGATGAATTTCAACACTCTCTGTAATAATAGAATCTTGATCTGCTTTATAAGTTTGGTCAAACAATATGGGCTTGTGAGTCAACGGGTCCAATCCCATGAGCTTCATTCTCTTCTTGATCCTTGTATTCCAATGGTTCTTTATTTCATTATCAGTTCTCCCGCCAAAATGTGCAGCAATCTTGGACCACCTAGTACCAAAAAAAAATCATGCTCAAACAAAATGGTTGTTGTAAGAAACTCAAACATGACTCAGAATTAGGGGGGGGTCATCGAGCTGAGCCGGCTCGTGAGCTGACTCGAAAAGAGCTTGAACTCGAATTCGAGTTTTTCGAGCTCGAGCTTTTTGACAAGTCGAGCTCGAGCCACTTTTTTGTTGTTCTTGAACTCACGAGCTGGCTTGCAAGCCTTCCTTTTATTTATTTTTTTATTTTTTATATATTATTTTTAATAATAGATAATATTATAATAATAGTATAGAAAAAAACATATAAAATTAAAAATATATATAATTACAGTTCATAAATTATTTTGTAATTTTTATTATTATAATATAAATAATTTTAATAAATCGGCTCGAGCTCGAGCCAAAAAAAAATACTCGATGAGCTCGAGCTCAACAAAATGGACTCGGGCCTGCCAAAATAGCCGAGCTCGGCTCGAGCGCTAAGCTCGTTCACACCCTACTCAGAATCAAGAAAACAAAAACAATTATAGTACTAACTTCTGATATTTTTTTCCTTACCTGTTTCCTAATCGAGAATGAAGTTCGATAATCATATCTTCCTCTGCTTCAGTAAACGCGCCTCTCTTTAGATCGGGCCGAAGATAGTTTATCCACCTCAGTCTACAACTCTTTCCACATCTCATCAAACCTACATTGTTATTATTATCAAGAAACATATAAACATATATCTATTGTGATTAATCATTTTTTTCTAAATTAATTAAATGTATTATTATTAATATACCTGCGTGTTTCGGGACAAGGCGCCAACATTGTATACCGTTGTTGAGGATGTAGTGCATGAGCTTATCGTCTTCTTCCATCGTCCACGGACCTCGTTTAAGTCCCGACTTTTCGCAACACGGTTGTCTTCCCATTATCGAAAAACAGAATTAATGCAGAGTAATTAACAAAGAAACTAATTAATGGGCTGCTGCTTTTTTATATATATAATCGAAAGTCGAAACCAAGATTCTCTTACAGCTAATCCACAGATCAAACCGATAATTGAGTTCGAAAACAAAAGACAAAACAACCATGCTTTTTATATATAAGTATTAATGCAATAATTGTGCTTTTTCTTAGTTACTATATTATATATATATTCAATTTATCGTCTTGCAAACTAAATGATTGAATGAACAGACGTGCGAGTTTTTTGTCGTTGACATGTTTTTCTTTCGTTTCTTTATGTTTGTGCCCGTAAAGAATGGTGGTGGTGATGAACTTTAGCAGAAAGTACAAAGAATGAAAGGTTTTACAACAAAGCAGCTTTGTTCATGGGAGACAACATTTATTCATCAAGGAATTGTTTTATCATAAATAAATAAATAAAATTGTTTATGAGAAAGTTCTGTGTATCAAATCTTTAGATGTGATTCTTGTTAGTATTATTACAAAATTGGCAAGCTTAGGTGGCTTATATTTTAATCTTTATATGGTACAATTAAACATATATTTGAGCAGACTCTTTTGAGGGCATTTTATTAAATCCGATTAATTTACGAGCCGAGTTTGTTTTCATGAACATAGTATGGTTACGATTATTGTTTTTTTCTTCTTGTTTTGCTCTTCACGGGTATTCTAGATTTTGCTTTTCAGCTGTGAATTAATATTGTTTTTTAACATGTTCGGCTGTAAATTTGTAAAATACAAGGTCCAATAGTATATGAACTTGAGTCAGCTCACACGTCTGGCTTAATTACGACTTAATTGCCACCACTAATTTACACGATATACTTCAATTTGGAAGTTAATTGGGATGGGATATATTTCAATTTGGGCCATGATTTAACATTGTAATTCATCGATAAGGCCCAAAATACATGGGCTTCTTCTTGCTCAACCTTTCTCTTTAATTTATCATTAAATATACTATGATTATTAGTGCTATATCTATAGTACTATTGTGAATGTGATGTTGCAGTTATCATTAACAGATGTTGATATGATCATATTATATTTATATGTCCTAATTACTTGATTAGTCCACACTCCAATCATTAATTTATATCCACTCGCCGAATAAGTAAAGATTTTGACAGCATATAATATGGCAATAAGAAGAAACTTTGATATGCCTAATTGGGCCAACCCAATGGGCCTACAATTTCTTTACATACTGGGCTACGAGCCCAATATCGAAGACTAATATCACCGAGGCCCAAACACCTTCAAGTAAGGCTTGGGCCCAACAAAGCAAACCCAACCCAATAAACGACATATAAATAGAGGTTTTACTCATTTTATTAAGGTACGTCCTATTAACTGAGCAATACTATCAACTGTATTCTCTGGACTATTTCTATGATCAGCACGTCTGACTTGAGCGTCGGAGGGGTTTCCGCCGGATCAACCCCCGGCGTAGTTCACGTGTGTTCATTTCGCAGGTACCTCAGGATCATCAAGTTGTCAAGCTACTGATCTGCTTTGCTCTCCCAGTTCGTTTTCCACACTAGGAGACCACTCGCTCCATCCTACGACCCGCAGCGAGGAAACTCCCACGAGGAGCCAACTCGCTCGGTCCTACGAACCCACAGCGAGATAACTCCCATGAGGAGACCACTTGATCCGCCCTATAACCTGTTGCGAGGTAAATCCCACGAGGAGCCAACTCCCTCGGGTCTCATAACCACAGCGAGATAACTCCCACGAGGAGACCACTCGCTCTATCCCACAATTCGCAGCGAGACAACTCCTACGAGGAGCCAACTCACCCGATACTACAACCCGTAGCGAGACAACTCCCACGAGGAGTCTACTCGCTCGGTACTACAACCGGCAGCAAGACAACTCCCACGAGGAGATAACTTGCTCAGTCATATAACCCGTTGCGAGGCAACTCCCACGAGGAGTCAACTCCCTCGGGCCTACGAACCCACAGCGAGATAACTCCTACAAGGAGACCAATCGCTCCATCCTACGACTCGCAGCGAGGGAACTCCCACGAGGAGCCAACTCGCTCGGTACTACGAACCCGTAGCGAGACAACTCCCACGAGGAGCCAACTCGCTCGGTACCACAACCCGCAGCGAGACAACTCCCACGAGGAGCCAACTCGCTCGATACTACAAATCCGTTGCAAGGCAACTCCCACGTACAACCACCTCGCTCGATAATAAGACTCGCTGCGAGACAACTCCCACGGGGAGACAACTCGCTCAGAGCAACCTCAATCCGCACACTCCTCAATCGCGCGTCATCCAATGCTCCTACAACTTCGCTGCAAGACAACTCTCTTGAAGAGACAACTCGCTCGCAATGCACTATATAATCGCAAGCTCAAGTTAGCACGATTACAACCCTAGAAACACTTAGAGATATTATGAGAATCTATATAGCCTGGCCAGCTTGATTACTCAAAATTTATCTACTTGTTTTCAATGGGTCCTTCATTAAAACGTGGCCACGGTCCAAACATACTTACGACCCACGAGGTCTAACAATGGGCACGATCCCCATAAAAAAAACTCTTGAGAGCCTGATCCCCTCCTCAAGTACATCACGCACAAGGCTATATGTAAACACATACAAGCAACGCGTCAAAACATTGACAATGTCGATAAATAACAACTCCCACGAGGAGAATACTAGCTCCGTGCTACTACATTATCACGAGACAACTCCCACGAGGAGATAACTCGATCAACACTATTACCCCGCGACAAGACAACTCCCACGAGGAGATAATTCGCTACTACATCGTCGCGGGACAAAACCGACGACTCAATTAACTTACATCGCGACAACCTTGTCGCGCTATGCGCCAACGCGCATTCACGCCCCTCCGACACACGCTACAACGCGTTTTCGCATACCATTAGGCCATACGCCAACGATCGACTTCTACAATTTTTACTCTCGACACGATCTGAGACCCATCACAACATGGCCCCCACATCGACTCGAGAGTGGGGGGCTTAATGATATGCCTAATTGGGCCAACCCAATGGGCCTACAATTTCTTTACATACTGGGCTACGAGCCCAATATCGAAGACTAATATCACCGAGGCCCAAACACCTTCAAGTAAGGCTTGGGCCCAACAAAGCAAACCCAACCCAATAAACGACATATAAATAGAGGTTTTACTCATTTTATTAAGGTACGTCCTATTAACTGAGCAATACTATCAACTGTATTCTCTGGACTATTTCTATGATCAGCACGTCTGACTTGAGCGTCGGAGGGGTTTCCGCCGGATCAACCCCCGGCGTAGTTCACGTGTGTTCATTTCGCAGGTACCTCAGGATCATCAAGTTGTCAAGCTACTGATCTGCTTTGCTCTCCCAGTTCGTTTTCCACACTACCCTATGTGATCTAAGTAATTAGCATCATCAAACTTAATTTCTGCAGTAAAAGGATTATATATATATATATATATATATATATATATATATATATAAAATAAGCTGGATTGATGAGTTTTATCAATGGATCCAAGGAACCAAACACACAAACCATCCAACTTCACCGCATCTAATGGATCGCCACGTGGCGCTCTCACCACAATCTATACTCTATAGTAAGGCCCAGTTTGGTTGGGCTGATCCGGGTGGATAGTTCCTCTAATCCACTCGGATCTCAGCTTTGGTTCGGCCCAACTGGGTTCTGGATTGCACTTGGGCCCGGGTCCGGATCTTGGATTTCCTGGATCTCCCATCAGGCTAAAGGAGGTGAGATTGGGTAATCTCATCCACTCTCAGCCCAATCAAGCTCAGTATATTACCTTTATGCCCTGAATATATATTTCTAATTACAAGACTACCCCATATATATAGGAATTACCCCAAAAATTATTGAGTTAGCCCTAGAATTTTACCGACATAGCCGTTCTTCGTTCTGCTTTTCTCCACTGTGGTCGGTAGTTTTTTCACCGAGGTAATTTTTCCGATAATCAACTCATCTAGGTTCTCTAACACGCTTCTTTCTTCGTATTTTAGGCCCCCTAAACCGGTTGAAGAATAATCAACTCATCACAGATTGATTTCTTATTTTTCATACTTCACTAGTTTTTTCTTTTTTTTTATTTGGTTTTTCCGATAATCAACTCATCACAGATTGATTTCACAGATTTCTTCAAACGCATCCGAATATTGCTGAAGAAGTTTGGGTTCATATGGGTATCGATTTTTTTTATTGTTCTAATTATCCATTCCTTCATCTCGTAATTAAATTTATTTGTTTCCGTTTCGCAGGTGATTTTCGATTTTGGTTTCGAAGTAGTTCGTAGTTTGGCCGGGCTGATTCTGTTCCGGCCGAACGATTCCGGTGTTGCAGCTGGTTGACAGTTGGCTGTCGATTATCCCGGTTCTGCTACACCACGATTTAAGGTGAGTTCTCCAATGGGTTTAAGCTCGTCTTTTAGATTACAGATTAAGGATTGAGAAAGGTAGCATTTATTTGGAAAAAAATATTGTATCTTGTTTTTTTGGGAAAAAATAGTACATTACCTCAGTGTTGGTTGGAAAATAACCATTATTTGGAGAAAAAATAACCAATTAGTGAATTAGAATTAGTTAATATTAAAGTCAATTAGTGAAATAATATATGGTGTTACTCAGTATAAATTGTTTGGCCTTAATATTGTTTGGCATAAACAGTATATAAAGAATGCAATTAAGTTGTTTTTTTTGTAATAGTTTACGATAGTTATTTCATCTTTGCTTGCTCTAGGAGTTGGTTTATATGTTTCATATATTTGAGAGAGGTTACAGGGTCTGGAATGTGAAATTTAGTTGTGAATGTGTTTGAGAGAGGTTGCATGGTCTGGAATGTGAAATTTAGTTGTCAACGATCCAACGGTCTTTAACTCTATCCTCGATTAAATCGCCGCCAAAATGCGGACTCACTACGGTGAGACCTTTACGAATGACGTTGTTAAACGTCGGACCTTCCTACTAAAAAATCGTTTCAATGCATTTGTCAAATTCATTGGACTACCCGGTGTCAACTACAACCGTAGGACCGAACGTGTATCGGTTGACCGGACGTATGTCACGAGTCCAAAGAACAAAGTATGTAAACCTATTTTTATTGCATAAAATGCACGGTAAACTTTTTGTTGTCTTATTCTATGAATATGCAAATCATTTAATTGTGTGTGATCCTATACTTTTCCCTTTCACAATTAAAAAAAAACGGAACATGCGTTGCACAACTATTTCGCTGCTAACGGGTTTCCCTACTACGGCACTTTTGAGTTGGTATTTGTGGAGAAAGAAGCAGGGACGATAGAGTTTAGTGATAAACAAGGGTTCGTAAAAGATGACCCAATCACAATTGACGAAGGAACTCGACCGGGTGTTGAGGGTGTGAACGATGAATACGCTATTGTGCCGTATGAGGGTGTGAACGATGTTGAGCCCGTGGGTTACTATACCGGCGAGACCGACGGGTTCTCGGGGCGTATAGATGGTTGACAGCGAGTCAACTAGCTTGGTCATTGTGATTTCTGATATTTTTATGACTTTATTCTCCGTTTACCGTATTTTTCATCGTTGTAATTGTTTTATTGTCTTCGTGTTTTTTTTTATTTCATAGTAATTGGTTTATGCAATTGCGAAAGTATCGTTGTGCTCGGTCATTGGTTATAGTGTGATCAATTATTCAATTATAACTTTAAATTCTATATGAACAAACATCTGTATCAACAAATTTAAACAAACAATGTTAAATATATAAATGTGTATTAACTAAGAAAAACAGTAGTGTGAACAAAATGTAAACAAACAACATTAATATATATTATCGCCCATGGGTACGAAACATGAAAATTAAAATTACAAACCAAAATACAAAGTCAGGAAAATCAAATACTAATACCGAAAATCTTGCCGACTACATGGAAGTGGGAAAATAATACGGGAAATACCAATAATAATAATACGGAAAATATTAGGAAAAACTAGCCGAGATAATGGAGATTGGAAAATTTGAACTTCCATTGATCAATGGAGTCAGTACAACACATGCGTCAAAGTATGACCTAGTAATCGTTTTCCCCGTCGATTGGCCCCTTGCCGTTACACATATTCGAGGGACGGTTTGACCCGGACGAACTCAATCCAAACAAATTTGCAATATTGCGGGGCCTCGGCATTGATTTATCTTTCGGCTTCAAAGGTGATGGGCCCGAAACCGGACGCCGAACTCTCGAATTAGCGGTGCTACCCTCGGTGTTTAACGAACCCTCGGAATCCGAAAAGTGATTGAGGTAGTCCCACACATTGAAGTGTGTGCTACTAGAATCCGAGGAAATATTGACCACCGTTGTTGGTGGCATCGGGTTACCGAAACCAAGAGTGTTGTCGTTGCCTCGAAGATCAACCATGCTTGGTATCGGCACCGGCGGAGCCGCTTCATCGTCGTCCGATGACAAAACAATCACCTCATCGCCCGGTTTTTGTTCGACGACACGAGGTGCAAATATAGTCTTTAGTTCCTCCCATTCGCTATCCCCATATGTCCGATATGCGAAAGCGAATGTGTGTGCCTAAGAAAGGAATGAAAATGTAATTATACGAAAATGTTAGGGCTGATTTTGTAATTAAAAGTGAATGGGAGGAAAAGAATGGGTGCAACAAGTAATATTGTAAAAAATACTGGGGTAATATAATAATAAAAAGGGATTATGAGGGGTGGAAATGTAATTATCCGAAAATGTTAGGGCTGATTTTATAATTACAGGAAAATGAGAGGAAATAATGAGTGCAGTTGGCAATAATTTAAAAATTTCAGATGTATAAACTAATAATAAAAATACCTTCTAAGGGGTGGTAATGTAATTAACCAAATTATCCCACCCAATCCTCCCAACCATTCCTGAGATTGGCTCATTTGGATTCAATCCCACAGATCCATATCCAACCAACCAAACCCAAAATACCATCCATACTTTACTAATCCACACAGTGTCATTTTCCAATTAAGCCCCAATCCCATCCCACCCCATCCCTCCAACCAAAAGGGGCCTAATAGTACAGACAACGTCAGCGGCCGCCCTCATTGTACATTTGACGCATGTGTACATACATACATACATACATACATACATACATACATGCATGGGACAAATTAAACTGAATTAACAAAATAGTAGCTTAGCATGCAGTACTCTAGTTTAGTACGTACATACATGCATGCTATATGATGGAGTCATGAACTAATAATAATTTAATTTAATTTAATTAATTATTATTAATAAAAAAGGCAATATAATGGCTCAAAATTTCAAAGTCTTCCATCATCTTTCCATTTATGTTTAACATTTGAAAAAATGCAGAATCAAGGATAATGATACATATATATACTATATATATATGTGCATTTTTATTTATTGATAAATAACTGTCACTTTTGAAAAATATTTCAAAATATTTATGTTTTATATGTCACTTTACATTTCTAATACTGTATATATTAGATGATATCTTCCTGCTTCAATTTTATTAATTCAACTCTAAGTATTAACTTTTTTTTATAAATCATTAAATGATAAATTAAATGATAAAGGTTATTATAATCTTTTTAGTGTAATTTTACTAATATCAAGCCGTATTTATTGAGTTTTTCAATACTTGTTAAAGGTGAAAAAAGACAATTATTAAGAAACGAAGTACTAGATTACTGCACACGTATGGCCAACTGATAGCGGCAATTTGCCTACCTAACTACATTTATAGTACACTAGTTCACATTTTAATCCCCAAATTTCATGCATTCACACTAATATAAAGCTAATCATTTTTGTGCTTATATATATATATATATATATATATATATATATATATATATATATATATGTCTCGAGGTACAAGATTTTCTACTGCAAATTAAAACAACCAACAATGGAGATTGAAATAATTTCAAAAGAAATAATAAAGCCATCTTCTCCAACACCAAAATCACTTGAAAAATACCATCTTTCATTTCTTGACCAAATTGCCCCTCCTACTTTCATGCCCCTTGTTTACTTCTATTCACCCCACACAAAATACACCAACTCCCAAAAATCAGACCACCTCAAGAAATCTCTCTCCGAAGCCCTCTCCACCTTCCACCCTCTGGCCGGCCGCCTCGTCGCCGGCGATGCCTACGTGGACTGCCGCGACCAAGGTGCGCCGTTCTTCGAAGCTCAAGTCAACTGTGATCTTTCGCAGGCCATAACGAATCCGATCCCGAGGAATATGAACAAGTTTCTTCCGTACGAATTGAACGACCTGCAGAATCTCGGAGTCGCCGTTCAGGCCACCTACTTCCGGTGCGGCGGAGTCGCCGTCGGAGTGTTGGTTTCCCACAAGATCGCCGACGCGCTGTCGTTCTTCCTGTTCGCCAACGCGTGGGCCGCAGCCGCCAGAAACGAGAGCGCCGCCGCCGCGCCGCCGGTTTTCGAGGCGGCGTTGATTTTCCCGCCGCGGGACGTCGCCGGATACAAGCCCGGTACGGGAATCGTGAAGGAGGGGGAACTCGACACCAAGATCTTCACTTTCCCCGCCTCGAAAATCTCCGATCTCAGAGAAAGATACTCCGCCGCAGCCGCCGCCGGCGAGCGGCGGCCGACGCGGGTGGAGGCTTTGTCGGCGTTCATATGGACGCGGTTCATATCCGCGACGGAAATGAAACCCGAACCGAACAAGATCTACACGGTGCTCCACGCCGTGAATCTAAGAAACCGGCTCGAGCCGCCGTTGTCAGACAACCATTTCGGCAACATAAGCCGGCTTGCAATAGCCGTGCCAGCCGTGGACGACGGCGGCTCAATTGACGGCGGCTACGAGCTCATGCAGAAGGTCAGGGAAGCCATAGGAGCCGTCAACGGAGAGTACGTGGCTCGGCTCAGGGAAGGGGATAAGCATCTGAATTTCCTTAAAGAGAGGATGGCTCAAGCCAATAAAAGTGAGCTGGTTACGTTCAACTTTACGAGCTTGTGTAGATTCCCACTGTACGAAGCGGATTTCGGGTGGGGCAAACCGGTTCGGGTCGGGTCGGCCGTCATGTCGTACAAGAATCTGGTTACCTTAATGGATACAGCAACTGGGAATGGCATAGAAGCTTGGATTAACCTGAAGAAAGAGGATATGGTTAAATTTGAAGCTGATTTGGAGTTGCAAGAATTCATTTTACCCTCCAAAGATATTTAAAAGTTTTAATTTTTTTAATATATTTATGTACTTACTTATATATGAAATGAACCAAGTTGTTATCATCGGCTTTCTAACCTGGGTTGTCGATCGATCGGGTTTTCCACTTGTATTGGGCGCCGTGATCATCCTGTACACGTATTAATCCGAGTTAAGGCCCATGCACTTGGCCCAAAGTCTTGGTAGTCCCAAGAATGAAGGCGCATCGTAATTCCGGCGACATCAAACGCTGACGTGGGAAGCTCCAAGCTGATGTTGAGCTTATGACAGAAAATCCGGCAAACCGAATCCGATCAATATATATATATATATATATATATATATATATATATATATATATATATATATATATATATATATATATATATATATATATATATATACGCATTTTATTTCTAAACCGATCGTGAAAAATACGTCGAAAACTAAAGTTTATTCGTGAAGTAAAGACGAGACAGTAAAAAAAAATTGCATCTCTCAAATTATTAAACTTATTATTTGATATGTCATAATAATCTATAAATGCATATATATTATATATTTAGCACTAATAATTATACATTTAAGCTTACAAGTTTAAAAGGTAAAAACAAATTTCTCCACACCCTAACAAAACAGGGGAAAAAAATAATCGAAAAAAAAGGGAAATATTCGTTCAAACCGATTAAAAACAAGTACCAACTCGTCCTAAGAAGCCGATGTAGTTGAATGGACAAGAATAGCTTCGTTGCTTACAACTTTTTTCGAAGCAAGTTCTTCTAGAAGTTTCCAAGTGGATTCTCGTTTCTCTTCGATCTCCTTTTCCATGGATTCATCTTCTTGGAATCGGATCTGGCACACTTCGAACAGATCAGGGTCAATATCGTAAAAAACCTTGCGTACGTTTAGGGTTAAACTACGAACAGACTGGTTCCAGTGTTGCCTAGCGTTTCTTTCTAAAGAAGGAAAAATAATAGGCAATATAACTTTGCGGTTTTGCTTTATTAGGTTCTCAATGTGATCGTTGTTCCACAAAAGCAACGCAATTTCCGCCACCTGAAAAGTAGAGAAAATAAAAACGAGAAAAATCAGGTAAATGAATGTAAATAATCATTAGTAAATTTTGATGGGAAATTATTCATACCACCGCCGTTCTATAATAGCTGTCGTTTAAGATTTTTACACACGTATTAAGAAAGTTATTAAATATTATTGAATTTTAGGGAAAGACACATAATAAAAGACTAAAATAACCTTTACCATTTAATAACGTGAAAAGAGATATTTAATGCGTAAAAGGGTAACACACGAAAAATTGCATTATTGGAACTCTAACGTGACAAATAATGTGAAATAAAAAAGATTAATATATAGCGACAAATAATATGAAACGGGGTAGTAAAACGGATGATTCAAGAAAGTCAATAGTTCGCATAATGCGTCATTAAAAACTTAACCTTTATCGATCATATCTACACGAACACGATATATAATCAAACAATACATTATACCAAACAAAGCTTTTAATCGACCCTTAGCTGGAATTAGCTCAAACTATAATGCAAAAAAACGAAACACCGGATTACACAAACAATACATATACATATTATACGTACATACCTGGAAATGCAAACTATTCAGACAAGACGAAATCTCGCGGAACAAAGGCACCATGCACCGCTGAAACTCCGACGCATGTGTTGCTTCTAGAACCTCCTCAAGCTCGTTAAGAAACAAAAGTTCCTTTGTGCTGTTAGTCACAGGCCAGTACTTTATCAATCCCCTTACAACAATATCCGCCAGCTTAAAATCTTTCTCGACAAACTGCGTGACGCAGTACGACAATTGGTGGTGGTACATCGCCAAACATTTCGGTTTATGCAGAGGAATCAACGTCCGAACGAGAAATAGTTTGTGCTCCTCTTTTAGAGGCAGAGCGAATCCGTTAATTATGCTGCCGAATACTTCGAGAAACTCTGCGATCCCGTTGTGTTTCTCCTCCTCGAAAACGAAAGAAGTGAATATGTTGTTGATCGTTTTTCGGATGAAGGGGCGGTGCACCATGAATTTCCCGTATATTCGGTGGAGTATACTTTTTAAATACTCCCTTTCGCTCGGGATTTCCGAGTCGAAGAGATGAAGCAGTTTCATCACGAATGAGTGGTCGATAAATCTCTTGGCGATCTTCGCATCTGTTTCTGGCGAAATAATGAATCTTAAGAGAAGTTCGTACACGACTTGCAAGTGGGACCATGCGGGGTCCATGTGGGGCTCTTCATCTTCGAAATCGAGGCTGTTTAATAGTATGTTGTTGTTCTCTCTCGGTCGAGGCGCGAAATCTCTGAATATATTTGCAGATACCATTTTAACGACTTCGAGCATGAGATTTTCCGTGAATTTCTCGTTTGCAGAAGCTACATACTCGACGAGCTCTAATAGTATCTGCCTTTTGAGATCTTTTTCTCTGAGGTTCTTTGTGGGGACCGTAAAGTCGAACCGAACGCAGCACATCTTCGCCTTCGAGACAAACAAGTGCTGTCGTTCGGAAGTCGGGACATCCTTAAAACTAGGCAGTGCTTCGTACGAAGTGGGAACGACTGAATTTTCGTTCGACGATCTTGAATTGTTGTTGACTTTCAGATTACTATTATTCGCAATGTCGAAAGCAGAGTAAGGAGCCGATATAGTAGTAGTAGTAGTAGTAGTACTCCGTCGCCTCTCTTTAAACTAGACTCGCAGAAAAATTCGATCCTCCGGCCGATTTCGAATGCTTTCTTGGAATCTTACCAAGAATCTGTTTGATCATTTTTCGGTTAAAGTAACCGAAAAATTCGAACAAACCCCTCTCAAAATCTCGACAGTAAATGAACGATAACTTCAACTTTCAAGAATCACCAAATCTTATCAGAATCAACAGAGAGCCCACTCATAGCAGAACCAAATCTTATCAGAATCTAAAAGGGGGCCTTTTACTTCATTTTTTTTCAATATAGGGGGGCCAAAACCCCTTTTTTCTCAAAAAAAAAAAGAAAACCCAAATTGCAGAAGCTCACAATCCACCAAAGATCAATTAAACCCACTAAATTCCCAAGTAAAGAAACTGAAAACCCTAATCGAAGTTACCCAATTTCACAAACAAAAAATTGAATAAAGCAGCAGCTACAATTATCACAATCCAATATAAATAAATAAATAAAAATGATTACTGTTAAATAGTTCAGAAATTTACAATAATCTTCTTCCTTGTTCTTGATTTTCTTAGCTGCAGTCTGCAGACAGCTTTCTGAGATTTCACCGTGTTTTCTTTTTTATTTAATGTAATATAATATAATATTGGGTAAATTACAAACACCCCCTGAGGTATGGTCAAATTACAAAAACCCCCCTCTTGTTTGGATAATTACATCTACCCCCCTTAACTATGATTTTTTCTTAGACCTCCACCTTTATGGTGCCAAATTCAACATAGTCATCTAGATTCCGTGAAATGTGCTCTAGTTTGTACTCGTTTTGTGTAAAAAATACAGTTTTTGATGCACCACAAACTGATATATACAAGCTAAAAATCACATATTATGATCATCTTGTTTCATAATGTAGAAATTGAATGGGATAAAACGGGTACAAAAGTGATAATATTCCATATAATCTCGAAGATTCCACTAAATTTGAGGAGTTGAGGGGGTGGTTGTAATTATCCAAACAAGAGGGGTGTTTTTGTAATTCGACCATACCTCAGGGGGGTGTTTGTAATTTACCCTATAATATTTGTTTTTGTTTTTTAGTTTTTGGTTTTTCTTAACTCTGGTTAAATTCCTACATACCTGTCTTTAGTACAAACAGTTGGGCTTTTCTCTATCTATGGTGATGCTCAGTCAGTTAGTCTATTCAATTTTTGAAAATAGAAATAAATGCATTTATTTTTTTAAATATTTATTTATTAATATTTTGAAAAATAAAAAATATAAATATTAAATAAAAACTTGAATATGGGCAGCAGCCCGTGTTCTATATATTTTTTTTAATAATAATTTGAATATGGGCCTATTTTGCTTTGTGTTTAATTAACTTTGATCCATGATGAAACCCTGGTGTCTTTAAATTACGACATTTGGCATCACGAGCATTCGACAAATCGTATGTCTACGTGGCATCTTAATTATATTTTATGTGGCATTTCTTTTGCCTAGAGGTTTTTTTTTTAAACTTTTCTGGTACTTTGTATTGTATATCAAATGTTGGTTTTATTATTCCAAGAACTTTTTTTTAAATTAAATTTTGATTTAATGATGAATATCCCGTGATATACTTTTATATTGCATCGTACGAGTAAAGTACTAGTATTATTCTATATACTTGACTTGTGTACGAGGTAAAATTATAATTAGAATGGAGAAGTATACATGCAATTACATAGTATTTAATTATTAATAAGAGATGAAATCAAAGATACGAAGCTCAACTTAAATTACTCAAACTTGATTTGTGTTCGATTCAACAAAAACCTTGACTTAGTTGTAATAATAATTATTATTATTAAATGACAATCGGACAAAAGGTTAAATAAATTCCCAACTTGTATATACAAAAAGATTATCCGATAAAGTAAACAGTGGAGTCCTAGCTAGAAATCTATTATAACACGTAAAACGCTGCCCAAAAATATAATCAACTAACATGTACGACAAACAGGATCTATAAAAACATGCCCAAGAAAATTCGAATTAAATTTGTCACAACTATATTAGTTTGCACCCTTAATTGAAAAATACAATTTAGAGGGTGTTTGGTTAAGCTTATAAGATGTTAAAAGGAGCTTATAAGCTATTCCAAAGTGTTTGGTAATTTTTTAAGAAAATATCTTATTTTTTTTAAAAATGATCTGTTCGAGAACAAATAAGATCTTTTTAAAAAAATACATATATCCCACATTTTTATTTAAGATCTTATAACGAGTAAAAATAGGAAATAAATTCATAATCCAAACACTCTAAAAATTAATCATAAAAATAAGATGCAACAGCTTATCAACTCTTAAAACATCTTATTAGACGTAAGAGCTTATCAGCTGTTTAAAATAAGCTTTAGCCAAACACCCTCTTATTAACCAAATCCTTTTTTTCAATAAAATTCAAAGATCTTATTAGACGTAAGAACTTATCAACTCTTAAAACATCTTATTAGACGTAAGAGCTTATCAGCTGTTTAAAATAAGCTTTAGCCAAACACCCTCTTATTAACCAAATCCTCTTTTTCTATAAAATTCAAAGATTACTACTTATTTCACTAACAAACCTTCTTTTTTAGCTTACCATTAATTTAATCCCTATTTTTTCTCCATTAGATCCACAACTTTTGACCAACCATTATTATTTATTTAATTAATTAATTTCCACACCCAAAAGAATCGTTCAAAATCCAAATAGCGAGATTTCCATTTATCACTCCCCATCAGAGAATACCGCGAAAAACGTTTTCCCTCCCTCACACGTGTCAATTGGCCCCCCATACCTTCCCTAAAATCCACCCCCCTTTAACCCTAACGACCCCCCCCTCATTCATTATTTGCCTTTCAAAGTAAAAATTATTTTCCTTTTTTCTCTTCCCACTTCCGTTTGAATCTTTGATCTGTGAAGAATATTTTTTTTTTTAATCTTGTTTTTTTCTAATTTCCTTGCCGAATCATCCTCAATACATCTCAAATCGGCTGTGGTGGAAAGGTTAGGGTTTGGGTTTTGACGGAAGAGATCAGGTTTGTTTGCATTCCTGCACGTGTAATACTTCTTGACAAGTTTCGCGAGACAGTATATAGAAGTTTTTCGTTTTGACCGTTGGGATAGGGTTTGTAAGATTCTTCTGAAGCACTAGGGTTTCATTATTAATTCATTGATTCTCTTTGTATATAAGAGAAGTTACAGTTTTTTTGATTGATTTGATAGCTGTAGCTGATAGCAAGGCTGTATTTTTTCGGTTCCTTACTACGAGAAATACTCTGTGAAGTTTTTGGTGCTATATTTTTAGTCTGCCATTGAAAATCGAGGGATTTCTGTTCTGGAACTTTTTTATTAGTTTGAATTAAAAAAAAAAGAAAAGAAAGAAAAAAAAGAGTAAATCTTTTGTTGTTGTGTATTAGTGTTTTCCATTTTTCTCTTTGGGATTATTAGGAAAGAGGAAAATAGTGAAATATAAGAAATCTAGGTTCTCTGCAGAGAGATTGAGATGGCTTTGAACTATTCGCATCGGCCCTCGTTTCCAGCTCACGTCTCCGAAGATAATTTGTTCTCGCCTATGATGAATGTGAGTGCTTGTCTTGCTGAGGGTGTTTCTGAAACGATCGATGAAGGTTATGCGAGGCCATGGAGTACGAGTTGGGGAGAAATGGAGGAGTGGTATTTCAACTGTACGAGTGATCGAGTTCACAATAACGGCTCGCCGGAGTTTAATATCGATGATGTTGTTAACCGTTTGCCCATCGATCCGTTTAGGATGGGTATGGGGAATACCTTCACTGCCCTCACAGGATGGCTTGAGGACCTGCGCTTTGACTATGGTGGATTCACGAGGGGCAATATCGGAATATCCGTCCCAGAGGATTACGGTTTTTCTGCTGGATGCAGTTTGATTTGGAAACATTACTCCGCGTTTCAACCATTTTGTGGCAATAATCGATTCGGCGATAATCTCAATGTCGGCATTGGGTCTTTTCTAAGAAATCCTCAATGTTATGAGAAATTTTATATGGATATCAATTCATTCATGGATGGTGTTCAGTTTCGCGCCGAGCTGAATACAGTTAGTAATCCAAATCAGCATGGCCGAGAGGGATTCCGACCAGCCTGCAATAGGGAGGGTATACTGGACTTTAGCGATACTAGTTCCGAGCTGCATTTTGGAGAAAAAGTGGATGTTGCTAACGAATCTGAAGCAGCGCCACACGAAGCTATGTTTTTTGCTTTAAGATATCTTGGAGTGAAGGACCTTTTGTCAGTCGAGAGGGTTTGTAGGTCGCTATGTTCTGCAGTTCGTGGCGACCCCTTATTGTGGATGAGTATACACATTCACGAACCTCTGAATGAAAAGATCACGGATGATCTTCTTTTGCAATTGGCTCGCAGGGCTCAAGGTAAATTGAAATGCCTGAGCGTAATGCGGTGCCCCAAAGTAACGAATGATGGTATAAGGCGCATACTCGAAACTAATACACGATTAATTAAGGTCAGCAGTCTAACTTTTACCTATTTATACTGATTTTAATGTTTTTTTCTTTTCTTTTTAAGTAATGATGCTTCTTTTGGTGGTGGGATTTATGAACAGTTTTATTATCTTGTTTATAACAGACGTGCTAATCTCTAATGATGCTCCACTTATTTGAATTTTTTCCTTGTTTTTTTCCTCCATGTGCGTCTGTCTCTTAAGGTGTGATTGAATTGGGTTCTTGTTTGTTACCATTGAAATGCAAAATTTGCTTTTCACGATGATTTTGCTAAAATCGAATTGGTTTTTGGTCGTATTTGGAGAATGAGAGTTAGCATGTATATCCAAATTATTATGCTTATGTTACTTTTTTTAACGATGATTTTGCTTTGACCAAATTAGTTTCGGTCATATTTGGATTATATGAGTACGCAGGGATACCCGACCTGTTTTCACCTTTTTTCTCATTTAATGGATATT